GGAAATACGGTGTTCATTAACTTCGGCTTAGAGTTTCGGGGCGCTTTGGGCAATACTTCGGGCTCCAACAGGGATCGCAGGCAAAACGTTTGTCACCTTATACTGATTCTTAGTTACATCAAAGCTGAAAAACTGATAACGGGCTGCAAGTGCCCATTTATTCGGCGACTGAGGCCACACGGAAAGAATTCAAGGTCTAAAATTCATACATGACCGAAGGAGAACAACTTCAGAAGGCGAGTCTCCTTTCCTAATTTAATGGTCGAGAAAAAAAAGACCTAATCATCATTATTATTTTCGTTATTTTTCCCTTGGGTTCCCAGTGGAACATAGGGCTTCAGTAGCACCCCTCCATTACACCCTCTTCTCTGCAGTCTTCAAAACCTGGCACCACGACTGCCCAGAAGCCTTCATTTCCTCTTCACATGATCTCCTCCGTGTCATCCTCAACTGCGACACCCAACTCGTTGTTTCCCATTTTGAATTCCACTCGAGGGCCTGGCCTGACGCGTGATATCCGCAGTCGGCTTTCTTAGTGTATGCCCAATCCATCTCCACTTCCTTCCAGTGCATATTTGTTCAGTGATAGGTTCTTGGTTCGTCCGTTTCCAAAGTTTCTGGTTGCTTATACTTTCTGGCCATCTGATCTTCAGTATCGAGCCAGCGTGGGCAGTTGTTGATGAATGTCTGTAGTTTGTTGGAAATCCCTTTCGTGACACGCCAAGTTTCTGAGCCATACAGAAGCACTGACTTAACGTTGGTGTTGAAAATCCTGACCTTGTTCTTTGTGATGAGTGCAGCATATCTCCACACTGATTTCAGATTAGTGAAAGCCTATCTTGCTTTTCCGATCCTGTTTTTGGCATCCTCGTTTGTGCCACCTGTAGTTGAAACGATGCTATCTAGATAGGTGAAAGAGACAACTTCCCTTGGGTTTTTCACGTTAACGGTGATTGGTGCTTGCTGTTGATGCTGTTGTTGGTTCGGTATCTTCATCAGCTCTATCTTCCCTACGTTCACTTGAAGCCACGTCATCCTATCTGTTCTGTCAACCTGTTAGTTCACGCCTGTAGATCTTCGAGTTTGTGCAACATCAGACACAAGTCATCGGTAAAATTCAAATCATCTAGGATCTTTTCATCGGTCCAGCCGGCGCACGATTGCCTTCTTGCTCCTCACAGTTTGCTGCACGGTCCAGTCCACCACAATTAGGAGGATCATGGGTGACAGTAGGTAGCCTTGTCTCACTCCCATCTTCACTTCAAAGGCGTAACTGGGCTTCCCATTATGCATCACTCGGCGTATGGCGTTCCCACATAGCTGTTGGATGAGGCTGATAAAAATTTGTGACACTTTGGTGTTGGAGCAACTGCCCGCATAATTACTTCTCCGTCGGCGTCGTCAAGGGCCTTCTCGAAGTCGATGAAGTTGAAGTAGAGATCCAGTTGACTGCCATTCCATACTCTGTTCTATGATGATGGGTAGTGTGGCGTTGCAATTTGGTCCACAAATGATTTGTATTTCCTGAATACAGCCAGCCAGCCATCCTGTTCCGGTCGTAGTTTTGAATCCAGTGCATCTTTTAGTGTCTCGAGGATGATGTGGCTTAATATTCTGCTTGCTCTGGGTGGATAGGAGCGTGGTTCCGCGCCAGTTCTTGCAAACACTGAGGTCTCCCTTCTTCGGGAGTTTGACAAGATAGCCCTTCTTCCAATCGACAGCCAGGTACCTTCCCTTCCTTCCAGACCTTCTGCAATAGTTGTGTGGTGTGAGCATGTCCGCTGTTGTCTCTGCGTCTGTTCTCAGTGCTTCTGGTGGGATTCCATCTAGTCCTGCTGCTTTCCCTCATTTCAGTAGCTTTATGGCGCTCAGGACTTCGACTTTTGTTGGGGGATTTGTGTTCACTTGTAGTTCAGCGGCTGGGCTGCAGGTGGTATTTGTGGACGAGTTGCAGGTGGTGGTCGATTCAAGAGCTTCTTGAAGTGGCCGGCCCATCATTTCTTCTGTTTCTCTTCTTTGGTAATTAAATTTCCTTCATCTTTTACTGGTTTCATGTGTGTTGATCTCTTCCCAAACAGCAGGTAACCTGGTTATTTGATATAATGTTGTCAGGTCTCTATCTCTCCCACCTGCAGCCTGTTCTGCTTCACTTGCCAGTGTGTTGTGGAAGTGTCTTTTGTCTTTCCGCGCACTCTTCTTCACTTCTCTGTCCAGTGTAGTGTTTTATACATTGTACTCAGTTCCTCTTCCCGTTGTTCATCCTTGCACTGGTTCATCTTCTGCTTCACCATCCTCCTCTCCCACCTCTATGAGCTTCCATGTGTCCATCGAAATCCATTCATTGTCTTCTTTCTTCTTATTTCCTAACACGGTTATGCAGGTTCCTTCCACATAGCTTTCAAAGACTTCCAGTGTTCATCCACACAGGTTTCTTCAGGGATGTTGCTCGATATATCCCATTTTGGCTGCCGTGAAGATGTCCCTTGTAGTTTCGTCCTTCAGTTCAGTTTCTGTTCTGGGTGTTGAACTTGAACTGTGTGTGGTCTATCATCAGCTTTTTTGAATTGAAGACTTTCAACTTGATTTGGAAGTTTGCTTGTACTGGATAGTGAGTGGTGTGAACCTACATCTGCATACCCTTCTTGACCTGATGTTGTGTCCAGGAAACTGCATCTCCACTTTCTCACAATGAGATGAAGTCAGTCTGATCTTTAGTGTGTCCTGGTATGTCTAGTGAAATCCATGTCACTACCTTGTGAATATCCTTGTGTTTCTACGCAGTACTTCCAATCACCAAATTGTTGAATGAGCAGAAGTCTGCAAACAGTTCTCAATTCTCATTCATCATTTCACTAAGTGCTCCTCAACCCAGGATGAGTTCCCTTCCTGTGTTGTCCGCTCCGGATTTGACATTCGTGCCACTCCACCCATTAGAATTTTGATGTCGCCAACTGAGATGGGGTCTTGTCCAATGATGATTGCAGTTGTCTGTAGAATTCCGCCTTCTCTTAATGTTCATCATTTGTTGGCGCATAGCCTTGAATGACTGTGACTTCATTTCCTTTTGATTTGAATCTTGCTGTGATGATCCTGGACGGAATTCGTTCCCACTGCATGAAAACCTTCTATTCTCCTAGGAGGGAGACATCATGATATTCGCTCTAAAAGTCGGTGCGCTCGTGGATGTCGTCTGAGTGACAATATCGGAGTTGACAGTTTGGAAAGTCCACTTGCATTCCATCTGCTTTCACAGATTCCAAGCAATTCCATGCCGTACTTCCTCACCTCTTTTGGAGTCTGGATAACCTTGCTAGGTTCAAACACTATGCGGACATTCCATGTCCCCATATTTACCCTCGCTTTCATCGAGAGAGAGAGAGAGAGAAAACGCGTCGGCCGACTGGTTCCCTAAGGGCTTTCACCAACTGGCGCCATTTCACCTCTCCAATTCCAGTGAGGAATAGGTTTAATTCCATTCCTCATAAGTTCTTTGCGCTTAGAGGTTTCCTTAGGGAGTGGATTGGCTTAACGAGGTAGGATTTCTACCCCTATGCCCAACCTTCCCCCTTTATCCGGGCTTGGGACCAGCTAGTAACTAGTGCACTAGCTAACCAGATAAGGTTAGGACCTAATCATGGTTAGCACCATTTCAAGAAATGAAATTATTCAGGATGCTGTACACGGGTAGCCTGCCTCTGCTTCAAGTAAAAAGCAGAAACTCCACAACAAGTAAGAAAGATTATGCTATATTGCTGAGGGGAAACTCTCACCCTCCTATGAAGAGTAGTTGGAGATTCTGAACCTTTTAGCATCGTCATGTGGTAGGAAAAGGAGAAATCTTATATCAGAGTATCGTATCTAGAACAAGGACTTGACAGGTGTGTTCTTGTGACCTCGTTGTTCCTTCTAGGACTGATTATATAAGGCCTCATCAGGAGAGCACTCAAAAGCCTCTGCCGAACAGACTACAAATGGAGCTAAGATTCACCCACAGGCTAGTCAACTTGAAGCAATTAGTCCCTTTGGTGAATTTGCACAACGTAATAAGAAGACGGTGGCCACTTGATAAGTGTGATGCGTTTGCGCAATACATCGGGAGGAATTACTGGAACTTAATACAACCCATCACAGATACTACGACTAATGGGACTTGTTAGGGGGACTAGTGGTAGCAGCTTCCTCGGTAAATCCCTTCGAGAAGAATCCCGACCCCTACACAGATATACAGTGATCGGATAATAAAGGGCTACTAAGGGTGCCACGTTCAAAAGTAAGGTCCGATTCACTCTGACGTTTTATTTACTGCTACTTGACTGAGTGTTAGAATGCTTGGACAAAAGTATCTACCGCCCGTTATTTCATGCAATTAACAAACGTAGAAGGATGGAGTATACATGAGAAGAGGGAAAAGGATCTCTCAAATCTTTTGCCCATCAAAGAATCATGCTTACACTCACCACTCTGATTACCATATGGCCACTAACCCAATGATTTTTATTTCCATAAGCCCTCTTATAACCTCAACTTTCCCCCTTCTTCTTCTTCTTCTTCTTCTGTGGTTTGACTGCATCTACTAAGATTCTCCTTATCACCGTTTCCTTCCCCGAAATCAAGTAGGTTTCCCCCTTTCTTCTCAAATTCATATTTGTCTCCTCATCCCTCTTAATTTTTTAAAGACCGATTCGATTGACTTTCTGTTGGTATGAAATTTGAGGGACATATCTAAACCCCAGTTCGAGGATATATAATACACTGCTCCACAAATTTACAAAACATACTATTACCTATCAGGTTTACCACAGCTACCGCAGACCACTGGATTTATCGACCGTGACAGAAGCTGAAGATGACCTGAGACCATTCTGCAAGGTACAGAAGTGAGCGCGAGGGAATTAGTTGGTTTATACAACTTTTAAAAGTCTTATTGGATATTGAATGTTTGTTTTGTCATTATACTCTACTTCTATGGAAGGACAAAATACCAAGGTTGGGCGTTTGGAATGGCATCAAGGAATGATGGTATTCAACTTCTTTTACAAGCAGAGAAGAGTGCTAGCGAAAAAGTTAACGAGGCAAAAAGACGTAAGCTTCTTCCAGCTCGCGTTATTTCTTATGTCTCGTTAACAATTAGATATGTATGGTTTTTAAGGGTCAGTATGTAAGATTCTAGTTAAGCTTTACTTTTGTAGGTTGATATGTTAGAAGGACTTAGACTATTGTGTTTTGTTTACACAGTGGTGGCTGTTAAATCTCTTGGGGCCTTGTGGTTGTTTTCTGAGGCCTCAAGAACCGGGCTTGAGAGATCAGAAGCTCTCAGTTTTCTACACTCGTATTATCGGTGTTGGATTTTGGATATGCTTCAGACACAATGTCCTACACATTGGACGTAATTTTCTGCATGACGTTGGTGTTATCAGCAGATCCTGAACCGTTTTTAGGAGTGACTAAAGTGTCTGTACCTATTTTCCCTACCTTTCTGGTTGAGTGTGACCTAATACTGACCTACTTTATCGCACTGGGCTATTATTTACCTTTAAAAGATACTGTCGTCTGGTTGGTTCATTAAATGTCCATATTCTTCCGTCTTTGTCACAGAATCCTTTCTGTCAGTCCCAAAATTTGTCATTTCTGCAATAAGCGGCTTAGTAATCTTACCTACTTCACACGTCTGACAGTCCTACTTAGAGTATTCACTGATTGCAGTATCACAAGTAATTATTTTAGATAACCTGCTACCAAATATTTACTTACCAGGTGCGAAACTTGCTTTGTAGTGTTCAAGTGATGACGATAGCTGCATCTCAAGCAACCAATCATATTGAATATACGAAGATTAGATGAATCGATACCCACACCATTTTCGTGATTGTGAAGTGTTTCTGCAACGTGAATATGAGATTGAATCGTTCTAATCAATTCCTATAGGAAAGGTGTTATTGCGCCTTAATAATGCCAAAAACGTTTTCGACAAGGAACTTCACCACATATCTTTATTTAGACGGAAAATATAGAGACTTGCTGCCAATGGTTGTCTGGGCCGATTTTTACGCTTGACTGTCTATCTTTGCCGCAGGCGTGAAATAGTTTTTCAAATAAACCTTAAGGGTTAAGGCATCAGGCGCCTTCTGCTTGAGTCCTTGGGATCATTACAAAGCTATCACTGCATTAGAATTTCAGTGGTTTCTAACCATCATACCTTTCCTTTGTCCAAATTATTTATACAGTCATTTTTTTATCAATGAAATACCAGCAACCTAGTAGCTGATAATCCGGTCTACAGCACCTTTGAAGGGATAAACTTCCAAGCATAGAAGTTGTGTTTTCGATCGTGTCCGTTTTATCTTCAAGCACAGACTGGATTGCCCTGATTATTATGTCATCGGCAAATAAAAGCGAGATTGACATCGGTTCATGAATGTCTAGGAGAATGCATATAGCTTTACCTTGAATAAACATAAGTGGATGCAAATTTCACCATGTAATACAATGTAAAACCCACCTAATTTAGCTCAGCAATTTTTACCCAGAAACATGGAAATCGGTTTTTCATAGTACTGATTGTGGACATTGCTCCAACTGGCATATCATAAGTGGTAGAATACTCTCCGTCCTCAGTGAGTTAGTTGTATAGTAGCAATCGAGATAAAAACTTTTGCCATTGTCAAGACGAAACTAAAGCTTCCCAAATTTTTTGAATCCTACAGCGTACGGTGGTAAAACTCCTAAGTACGAATTGCTTGTTTCCTACTCCGAAAACACAATCTAACTTAGCAGACGCATGCAGGTTTATTCATTAAACAGTGAGTCACCAACATAGTGAGAGCTGACGATACTACTTGACTGCCTATAATACATTAGGTGAAAAGTAGTTTAAACTCGTAACCCACTGGTTGATAGTCAGTTGCCTAGACCAGTGAGCCATAGCTTCATCCTTATATATAGCCTACCCAGTCAGACTACACAGTAATTTCTAATTACTTTCAAAGGTTCGGAACCGGATACTTTTACTTTGAAACGGTCTTTTTGACTTATGTGAGTTGATTTCCCAGTAGCTCCTCTGTATTCATACCGAGGTCGGAGAACATCAACTGATGAGCAGATTCAATTGATTTAAACTGCTTTTAAGTGTCTGACACTGCGTTCATTTTTCCTTAGATTTTGTCTAGGATCCCTTCCTCTCAAATGTAGTCTGTTCATCTATTTCGGAGGCATAAATGGATTCTCAAAAGCCTTTGCGTACTGTTTAACCACAAGATTCGGCTGTAGTTAAAAGTGACAGGACTTTAGTCAGATTTTATTTTGTAGTAGGTCAATCTTATATTTCAGTAAATACCTAAATTATTGTGGTAACATTGGTATTTCGGTACTCAGATTTATTTGATTTCTAATATAACAATTACGGCTATCGTGCAGTAAAATACACGTCTACAATGTTTACACTTCAAGTTCTTTACCATTCCTATTTCCCACTGGTAGAATTTTCTACACATAACTAATACTGATAGGCTTCTGACTCAAATTGGTATCAATATCTTAAACAGAACACTGTTCTTAACATGATTTCTGGTTACTAAAAGCTGTCAAAACATCAATGATCCTATTACTGTACTACACACGATAACCCAAGCGGATTGTAGTTAGTATCGCAACTGAATATCAAAATAAACTGGAATAAAAGCTGGGTACAGATCCTGCAAAAATTGTTGTATCGGTTGCATTCAAAACATGACGTGGAAATTACCATCAGCCAATTGGTATGTTCTTCGGTACCATCGCACTGTTACTCCGTTTGTGAAAGATCGGTTGTACAGTGCTTTGATGCAGTTTGTGCTGCTCCACAACGTAGATACTGGTTTTTTCTTAGCAGTGTTCGATAGCCCTTTGTACAACTGTTCCTCTTTTGTCTAGGAGGACTCTCAACCAGTGGGTCATAAGTCTAAACCACGCCTACCAATCGTTAGGGATCCAGATAGTACCATTAACCCTAACACAATAGGTGCGGTTCATTGCCTAGTGCTGATAGTTTACTCGTTTACTTACTGTATTTGTTTATCAGCCGACAAAGGATTAACTGCATTAGATGTCAGCACCATATAACCCTAAGGAGAAAGGGAATGTTAATAAGCGTGATGTTTTCCTTAGTAGGATCGGCAAAAAATACCGGTTGTGGTAATTTTGGGTACGTCTTTCATCTTGGCGGCTTCCATACTCCTCGTTCTCTGCTTATTCTGGGCTAACTAGAAATATAAGTGGAGTTGCGGCTCAGTAGTTTAGAAAGGACTTTCAACCGAAGGGTCGCAGGTTCGAACACTCCTCGACCTACCAAGGTTTCGGTGATCAAGTAGTATTATTAGCTGTGAAAAGATGTGGCGCATCCCCTACACAAAAGTACACAAGGCTGGTGAGTCCATTCCGATTTCTTGTGAAGAATTTGATGCAGGAGGAAGACGAGTTTTGTTGGGGTGTATTAGCTTTTTGGGTAGTTTTTAAGAGACTATATAAAGCAGTGATTTGAGGTGCTCCCATACGTAACTCGTCAATGAAAAAAATTGTGTTCATGCTGAAATCTTGTGTCGTTTCTTTTTTTAAAGTTACAAAAACGTGGTCCAGCTTGAATATATCATGTTTTACACTTCTCATTTCATCTTCTTCCTCTTTCTTGTCTCCTTAATTGCCTTTGTAATTTTATGAATCCAGATGACATATTTTTTAGTTTGCATGTTGTACCAAATATGTTTCATAAAAGAATAACGATTCCTGGTTCAATCTAGGAACTACTGTGGTACTAGGCTATAGCCTGCTGTCTGATAATATCATTGAGGTACGACTTGCAGTATGTTGTATTTATCATCATCTCTGTGTTGTTGCATTTCTAAAACATGCTGAAGAATATTAAGCATGAAGTTTTCAACTGTCATCTCAGGTAAAGCAAGACGATTGAAAGAAGCTAAAGCGGAGGCTCAGGCAGAAATTGAGGCTGAACGAGCAGAGCGCGAGCATCATTTCAAGATATGTGAGGATAAGGTGAGTTACCCATCTCATTTGTGTTATTTTGCATTAATAATAAATGAGGTACAGTTCGTAAAGCAGTTGTAACGTTTTTCGATTATTTTTTTTCAGATACTTGGTCGCCGATCAGAAATAGAACTTCAGATTCAGAAGTTGACTCAGGAGATAATCAACACTCAGACCACTTCAGTTAATTTACATAAAGAAGATGCTATCAATATGTTGCTTAGTTGTGTTATGCAGATACAGCCACAGCTTCATAGAAATTATCGTAGTGGAGCTACAGGCTGATTATCAACTGATTATTCTAACGTGTTTTAGAATTTGAAATCACATTGATCAACAATCTGACTATAGACAAAACTGCAAATGCATAATATTTTATCGTTTGGTTACTTCACTATTTTCCCCAACATACATGGTTATCAATAAACGTGCTAACAAATAAATTATTTCCAAAAAGAAACCTTTTTCGGTCTGTCTGTTTTTATGTTCATTACTCGCTTATGCTGTTATGATTTATTTTTGTTAGCACTAAGTCTAAGCAGTTTAAAATTACCATTTCTGATTGTAGCAGTGTACTATTTCGCTTTGAAATCATACTGAATCCTGCTACCGTCTCCCTATGATAGTGTCTTGGGACAAACTCTTGTTACTATTTAAGCAGGAATATAATAGCAATGACACATCACTTTCAGGCAACCATAATTCGCAATCTGTGTTACCCGAACCCTTTCCACCTTATTTCATGCTTATTCGTAGTCATTCCCCATTTTCTTTAAATTATGAGAAAGAATTTAAAGACTAGAACTTTAAAATTTATTTATAAGATTCGAAAAAACGTTACTTGAGTTGTACCCCACCGATAGCTGCTACCTTGACGTGGTGGTCGGGCTTGCATATCACAATGACCCAACGAGATATGCTGGTGGAACACTCGTTCTCTCGAGGTCCTATCATGCCAGAAAGGTCTGTTGGATAATGGTTAGACGAAAAGCAGTTGCCGTTGTGTTGTAAATTACTACACTACGATGGGGGTCTGAGGGATGGGGTGTGACAGCAGTAAGGTGCTTCCCTTGGATGACCAGCACTGCCATGCTGATGCGGCCTTCTCAGTGGAAAGGAGGCGGGGGGTAGAAAAGGTCGGCCCCAAAAATAACATTCCACCATACCCCATGGTCTGCCGGACCGGTGGTGTTGGTTTATTTGTCGTTTCCTTTCGACCATCCAGCCCCCAAAATACAAAAGTTCAAAATAATCATACTCAAAAGACTGCATGTGACAGGCCTCAAGCAGATGTCTGATGGGCTCTGCGGTCACACAAATCTCTTTCAGGTACCTTAAGAAGAAATAGCCTCCCACGGTGTGGGCAGCCGGGAAGTGTCAACTCCCATCACAACTTGATCAGCACTCAAGTTTCCTCAGACTGCTATCCACCTTCCCCCCCGTCATCATTACCTTCTAATCTTCCTTCACCTCTCTTAACTAACTATACTGCATCATTTTCAATTTCTCCTAGCTCTGTAGCCTTCGACAACGATCTGAGTCCACAGAACAGCATCCCTGGTCTCCTTAAACCACGCTCCAAATTACATATTGGAGCATTCAATGTCCGCACCTTCCGTCAAATTGGTCGACAGGCTTCGTTGGTAAAGGCCATCGATATGTGCTGTGTTTGTGAGACACGCATACAGGACCTAAGTGCGGTTGTTCATTTGACCTCTTCCAGCCAATCTGGTGAGTCCGCGAAATTCACTCTTCCAGTTTCTGGAGATTCGATAGCTAGCTCTCGTGGTCTTGCAGGTGTAGGCATATCATTAAGCACTAGGGTAGAAAACTCACTACTAGACTGGATCTCAGTTAATAGTCACCTCTGCGCTGCCCGGCTAAGTGAGAACTAAAAGGAATAGTGAGACTCGCCGTTGTCTCTTTGTAATCTCTGCTTACGCACCCACTGACTGCAGCTCGGATGCAGTGTAGGATGAATCCTACCGTAAACAGTCTAGCATCCTCTCGAAAGCCGAACGTTCGGACGTGGTGGTTGTTGCAGGTGATTTGAATGCACAGGTGGGTAGACTGAGTGAGGCAGAAAGGCCCTTAGGTGGCTGACGTACAGATAAAAGTGGTCGCCTACTACAACTATGCCCATGTAACCGCCTACTTTAAGCTAGCACGAATTTCAGACATTAAGAAAGAAACTGTGATGTGGCGACCACCGAGCTAAACTCGGCGATTGACAACGAAACACCAGATACCTATTAGTCATGGCTGAAGAGGATCGCTGGAAGACTGCCACCCTTCTGAAGTACGTGTTTCATAACATTCAGGCGTTGGTTCGAGCGCGTACATGCCTCCTCCACAACAGACGCAAGGAAAATTTCACAACAAAACCACTACAAGTGCTCATGTATAACGAAAAAATGAAAAGATGTCTTCCGTGAGAAGCTGCCTAAGCGTTTATAGGAACAGAACACTACCACTCATCCAGAAGAAGCTTGGTACCATCTCCAGTCTGCTGTAGAAGCAGCGCTGACGACCGTAGCTGACTACGAAAAAGTGGCTAAAAGGAGTCAATGAATATCAGCAGTTTCTTCCTAACTAATGGATGCACGTGAACGCATCCCTGCAGGCTCTGAGTACAATGAAGAGCGAGCACAACATAAAAGTAGGTTGAGAAAAAGTCTACGCAACGACCGTGAACAGTGGTGGGCAATGAAGACTAAAGAGATGGGAAAGGCAGCGGCGATTGGTAACAGTAGACAGTTATTTAGACTCACTAAGGAGACTGGGGGGAAAAGGTCAACTGCGGTTAGTGAGGCTATAGCGGAGAAGGACGGGTCTGGGATTCACTTGCAGTGGAGATGACTGAAACGGTGGGCAGAACACTTCGACGAACAGTTGGACTGGCCTCCAGTCACCATTGTGTTGCCCTGCCCGCTATCATGTTGGATCATGAATCAAACGTTGAGACTTGCAGAAGTCGAGAAAGCTGTAGGTAACTTGGAACGAGGAAGGGTAGCAGGATCAGAGGGACTAACTCCTGAGGTATACAAGGATGTTGGTAAAGTGCTCTTAGTCAGGTTAACGGAAGTGTTAACTAGTGTATGAGGATCAAATACGATCCTCTCTGACTGGTCCAAATCACCGATTATCCCAGTCTTCAAGAAAGGCGAGAAGTCCTCTTGTGATAACCACAGAGGAACATAGTGTCTAAGATTCTAGGTCCCATAATTCTTCGATGCCTGAGCGGAGCTTGGGAACAGCAAGCCTGAGAAAACCAGACAGGTAGGCTTTAGACCCGGCCGCGGATGTATTGACCAAATATTCACACTGGGCTAGGCACGCTTACCGACACTAGCCGTGTTTCTCGACTTGAAGGCGGCGGCATTCCACTCTGTTGATCGAGAAGTCTTATAGCAATGTCTCTCACTGAAAGGCGCGCCGAGCAATTTACATCACCTTATTGAAGTATGTCTACTCGAACACTTGTGGACGTGTTAGAGCCTATGGTGAGATGTCCGGGAAGCTGTGCTCATCGAGTGGTGTCCGTCAAGGGTGCCCACTCTCCATTCTTATTCAATTTTATCCTAGATATTCTTATGGAGGTCTCCCTCTCGTCATCTGACTACACAGAGGTTGACCTAATCGCAGGAGAATTTTCGTTAGATGTAGAATATGCAGATGACATAGTGCTGTTAGGTGAAGACACTGATAAGATGCAGAATCTTCTGAACACTTTGATTGTCAATTTGAGAATGTTTGGGATGCGGTTCTCACCACCAAACTGGAAATGTTTGCTCCAGGATTGGTTTTCAACGATCCCACAGCTAACAATGGAGAGTGTAGTGGTTGAGTGTGTCGACCACTTCACTTACCTGGGAAGTAGGGTCAGCCCTGGTGGCTCGGTGGCCGATGAAATCTCTGCACGGATACGAAATGCTGGACTGGCTTTCGCCACCTTACACTACCTATGGCGCTGCCGTAATATCCGACTGTCTATTAAGGGTCTTGTATACTGCACAGCAGTTCAATCTGTTCTGCTGTATAGCTGTGAAACATGGTCATTGAAGGTGGAAGACATGAGAAGGCTTCAGGTGTTTGACCACTGTTGCCTTCGTAGTATAGGCCGTATTCCTTGGTGTCACCACATGAGTGAGTAATGCAGAAGTCAGGTGTGGACTTTTAGGGAGAAGAGGTAAGTCAGTTGACGAGGTTATGAACCTTCATCGACTGAGATGGTTAGGACCGTACTACGTATGCCTAGTCGTCGATTGCCTCATAACATTAAGTTGGGTGAAGTTTATTCAGGCTGCGAAAAGTCAGCAGGCGACCAGACTAAAACATGGCATCAAATGCATGAAGTCCTTAACTGTTCGTTTTAGCTATGTTGGAGGATGCAGACTAGCCAGTTGGGGTCCACGTGAAAACAGAAACCAGTGGTTGGAGAGTCTGGATGATATAACTGAGAAACAATGTCAGTGGCGCAGATATGTCCACATATTATCGTTATCTTAACCGCCATTCTGAATTCAGCATTTTCCTACACTTCCTTCCTCTCTTTTATTGCTTTCCACTGCTTTTGACCGATTTTTCTCTCTTCCTTCACCTCTCTTCTTGCTGCTTTCTTACTTGTTGTGTTGATATAAGATGTGGTAACTTGGACCGTTGTGCAGTCATGCCTGGTCCTATGTTGATATTGATTGATTTGACTAAACTCCTTATAGATCCAGTATTACATCACTGTAACCAAGTATTTGGAGACAGAACGCATGTAAGACAAGCGAGAACAAACAAAATGCTATAAACATATAGAGTATCCTGAGTTTCATTGAAGTAAGAGGCTTCCACAACCCATTTATTTTTCACAACTGTAATCTCTAGTGTCTTAGATAACCCTTTTTTCCATTTCCTTCACCTCTTACATACATCGACGCTTACTTGCTTCTGTGCTTTTTCTAATAACATTTCACGCCTGAAATATATTGCCGTGTCTTTTATTTCCTTATCTAAGCTTCATCACTGTTGTCTCATTTTCATGGTATAATTGTCAGTATTTACTACTAGCAATCTTAATATCTTTTGGGCAATGACCGCTGCCTAATGTGTTACAAAGTTGTAAAATTGTTATAAATATCCAGCAGATTGAAAATAAAGAAGAAAGTTGCGTATGGTTGCGATTGTACTGTTCAAAGAATAAAATTGTCAAGAAGCGAATTCCTAATTAAACCACTTGTTTTTCTTTGAAATCTTAATCATATAATTCAAATTGTGGCTTTAACAATTGTATTGGCATTTTTTTGCACAGACTTAGTAAATAGATGGACATAGAATAGTGAGCTTACACCAGTATATCAGTTTACTTGTAATGCCAAACAATAAGCACTTCTTACATAAATACACTTGGATCATCGTATTTTTACTTGTGTCTATTAGTATATTAGAACAAATAAACAAAAAAATATTTTGTATTATTCTTCAACATTTCGATCTTCCTAGGAAGATCCTTTACAAGACTATGAGTGTGACGTTAAGTTTACAGGTTACTATTCACGTTTTGATACAGAGGCTTACCATATCATCCATATCATAACAGGATTATACAAGTAAAAATATACCTTATACGATGAATCATACTAACTCGGTGTCCACGTTTATCCAAACCATTCAGTCCATTGTTGGTCAGGATACGTTTACGCATAAATCCTCTAGTGGAAATAACCTCAGGTACGTTTGACTTCAGAGAGGTTGATCTATTCCCTAGAGGTTATCTGGTTGGCATGGAGTATGCAGACGATATTGCCCTACTAGGTGAAGACGCTGACAAAATGCGGGGTCTTCTGGATGCGTTGAGCAGAAATCTGAGTATCTTCAGCATACGTTTCACTGGCACCTATCGAATGTAAGATGTTGCTCCAGGACTGGTCTGCTGCAAGTACACCCAGTTTAACGATTGGGAGTGGAGTGGTGGAATGTATCGACCACTTCAATTTCCTGAGGAGTTGCATCAGCTGGTTTCTGACGAAATCTCAGATCGGATAGAGAAGGCCTGTTCGGAATTTGCCAACTTCCGTCACCTGTGGTGCCGACTGGCGAGATATCCGACTATCTATCAAAGGACAGGTATACTGGGCTGTAGTCTGTCCTCTCCTGTTATACACCCATGGGACATGGCCGTTAAAAGTAGAAGACATGAAGCGGTTACAGGGTTTTGATCGCAGGTGTCTTCGTAGCATTGCACGCGTTTGGTGGAATCGCCAAGTGAACAATGTTGACCTCAGGCAACGGGTGCTAGGCACGACAGGCAAGTCGATTGGTGAGGTTGTGAATCTTCAACGTCTGAGGTGGCTTGGACATGTACTGTGCATACTAAATCATCGTTCACCTTGATATGCCATGCTACGGGAAGCTGGATTAGGTTGGGAGAGGGTTCAGGGTGGCCAGATCAAGACGTAGCACCAGTCGATGAAGTCCCTGACTGTTGGCCTGAGCCGTGTTGGGAGATGTAGACTGCCTCGTTGGGGTCTCCGAGGAGATAGAAATCAGTGATTGGGGGTTCTTAGCGATGTGGCTGGAAATCGGTCACAATGGTGTAGGTGTGTTCACTCCTTAACGTCTTGTAAGACTTGGATGTTCACACTAACTCATATTCAAGTTGTTTATTCTCTGACACAACTTTGTCTATTTTGATATCAGTTTTCTTCTATCCACTTGTTCTTTGTATACTACTGTAAAGTGTGGCAACTCGGACCGATGCACCTGTGTGCGAGGTTCCACGTTGATTTTGTTTCCATAAGTTATATTACATGGAACTGATTGTGATAAGTTATGCATAACATATGTCCTAGCCATCTGAGTGGATTAAGGTTTACGACCTGATCAACTGAATTTCTTCTTCCCCATACTCTACACCTGACTTCTTCGTTATTGACGTGATGACATCACAATACACAGCCCATGGTACGAAGGTATCAGTGGTTGAACACTTGAAGGATTCTCATATTTTGTAGTTGGACAAGGGACACTGCAGCGTAGTACCCTCGACGCTTGTATCTATCTGAATCGGTGGAGTAGTGTGCGAGGTTCTATGTTGATTTTCTCTGTCTTGCACTCGACCTTTACTTGACAATAGGATATCATGGCAGTGCCACAAGTGGAGAAAGTCAATCTAGGATTTTGTATCCGTGTAGAGATTTTGTCGGTCATTGACCCACCACGGCTTGCTTGATTGGAAAAGAGTGAACATCCGGTCGGTCCGCAATTAACGTACACATCTCATCACAGAGTTATCACACACCTGCTGTCGTCTGGATGCTCTGCATTCAGTATGTTGATGTACTTGCCTGTCATCTGTTTTGGTTAGAGATATTGCCTTAGCTCTGCGTGGTCGACGTATTCCAATATCGCTCTTGGGTAGAGAAATCCATCTTTTTTTAAGCGGCATATGTTTATATATTTTAGAAGCTTATGATAGTTGAATTTGTGGTCAATACACGCATGACCAGGCTAGATAAATATCAACTTTTCTCCCGTTCGCGCTTATCCAGCTGTGGTTAAACGTGATTATGGTAATAGAATGTGAACCCACAGATACTATGTTCGTCGGACTGGTTTTTCTCTAGTCATTACAGGAGGATGTCTCTCCTTTTCGAAGACTGAGACAAAGTGATTGATATGGAATGTCAGTAAAACTGATTGCTCTGTTGTCAGAGTAAAATTTATCACCTTTTTTAATAACTAGATAAATCAACGATATACACCGGTCTGATTTGATGATATTTTGATCCGCACATAATAGCTCCATATCAAATTCCTTAGCAGGTAATTTTCCACCTCATTCTTTAAAGTCTGGGTGGGGAACCGTTAGGCCCTACCTCGTTATTATCTCTCCTGGTTTAAACAGCCTTCTCAACTTTGAAAAGAGTTGAGGGGCCGATATTCACTTCCCTTGAGGGATGCGGCTGGATTTCGGTAAGCTAAACTGACATGTAGGCCAACTGAACTCTTCTGTAAAGTATCTCGACAAACGTTCCAGTCAAATGTATTTGGAAGTTATATCAGTGGCCTATCCTTTTCAATGACAGCTTTACGGACCACTCGTTACCTTCTGCATCCATTTCCTGAGAAGCCTTGATGACTGAAGAATATTATCTACTGCTTATGTTTCCTCCATCTTTTTCGCTTACACCACCCTCCCCAGGCCTCGGTTATTTCACAGACGCTCAGTCAGTTTATCTTAGGTTATTTTCACTGTTTGTCGTTGTGACTGCAATCTTTGGTAAGATGTTCTTTTACCTATCAGTTCGTATGAAGTTGCGGAAATCCACTGACTTCTAATAAACTTTGAGTATGCTTCACTCACTGTTAGAAGTAGAAGTCTCACCATTGCTGAGTGGTTCACATGCATAGGAGGTTAGTTTCTGAAGTTCGTATCAGTACATTCAATCATCTGAATCCCATCTAGATGTGCTATCACTTACAACGATTTGAATGTAGTAATCACTTATTAATATAAGTGTAAAACTTGGGCACTGTGGTCGAGTGGAATTCCATTTTAGTCTGTTTATTAGAAATACAGTGAAACAGTAGCATTTACTGGATAACGTTTCGGACACAAAAAGGAAATCTAGAGACTAGTGTCTGTAGGAGACCTACCCATTCGAATCGTTACTTAGACTTCGAATCCTCCCACCCCATTTCAGTTAAAGTAGGCCTAGTTAAATGCTTAAGTGATAGAGCGAAAAAGCTTACTAGTAGGTCGGAAAATCTGCGACAAGAAACTAGACACATCAAGAATGCCCTTACGTCTCAATAATTACCCACCAAAATTTATAAATAAATTCATAAGAAATCGAAAGAAAAGTATTAGCAGTGGTAGTAGTAGTAGTAGTAATACAGATGTTATTAATAATAATCCCACTACTGGTGGTAATAATGGCGACAGGGTTAAGAGAGAATTCAAAGCCTCTGTTGTATTACCATACAAGGAAGGCACCTCAGAAGCACTACGAAGAATCCTCAATAAGGCTGGGATTAAAGTGGCATTTAAACTCACTTAGAAACAAGCTTTCTAGGTTAAAAGATCCTATCGATGCAATTAAGCAAAATAATCTGGTTTACCAGATCCCTTGCAATGATTGCGAGGTCAAGTACACAGGTCAAAGCAGTCGATTAGAATAACAGAGCACAAAAACTTAGCTAAATCAAAATCAGTAGATCCTAATAAGGTAAGAAATCTAGAGAAAAACTCGGCTATAGCTCTGCATGCGATGACATACAGTCATACAGTAGGGTGGGGTAGGGCGACAGTGTTGAAAACTTAGTTAGGTGGAGGGAGAGATTAATAACCGGATCTTTGCTTATCGAATCAACACCAAACACATGCAATCGAAATGATGCTACACCTGTCCCAGATATATGGAAAATTCTACTACCCTTGTCATCACAGAGAAGGAGAGGAAACTAGGAATATATAAAGACTGTCTCGAAGTTGTGGAGTTACCTGATATGAATATGGACAATAAATTGTGTCCGAAACGTTATCCAGTAAATGCTACTGTTTCACTGTGTGATATTTCTAATAAGCAGACTAAAATAGAAGTAATCACTTATGCTATTTCTAAGCATCAGCGGTCTGGTTAATTAAATGGTGTAAAAATAAAGGATATCTGAACAGCCCGAGCTGTGTCAAGGAGGTGATTTTAGAAACTTAGCTGGTGATCTTTACCTCAAAAACATAAGAAAGACAACTCACTATTAAAACTGTTTCAGTTTGCATTAATTATTTGTTTGAAAGTTTTATTTCAGTACAATTAGAAAAGGGTTGTTCAGTTAAATAATCTTGAGGTTGGTTGACATTTCAATCCCTTTAAGCATGATATATAAGTAATTGGATAACTTTCTCAATCTGTGATTATCAGTTTAAAGTGTTTGATAAATCTCCCTGATATTTACTTATTTGACATCACTTTATACATTCAACCTTGTACATGTTTGTATAGGAACACAAAGGTGAATTACACTATAAGTGTACAAAAATTGCTCAAGAAATTGCTAATGAAGAACAATGTGAGATCAGTATGGATATAGTGTGTTTGGCCACTGAATTAACTTTTCGTTTTTATCAAATTCTTGCTACTGATTTAGAGGCATTCAGTAAGCATGCAAAACGTTCAACTGTTACTGCTGAAGATGTGTTTTGTTTTGTACGAAGAAATCCTCGATTAGTAAGTGATGTCTAAGTTATCCTATTTGTGTCTTTATTCATATAAAGTGTTTGAAGATTATGAAAAAAAACTTGTGAATAATTAAATACTGAATAATTATTGTCTACAAATTGAAATTTTCATTCTTCTGAAGTGTTCCAAATTTGCATTCAATCCTTCTAACTGACTGACTGACAAAATCAACATAGAACCTCGCACACTACTCCACCGATTCAGATAGATACAAGCGTCGAGGGTACTACGCTGCAGTGTCCCTTGTCCAACTACAAAATATGAGAATCCTTCAAGTGTTCAACCACTGATACCTTCGTACCATGGGCTGTGTATTGTGATGTCATCACGTCAATAACGAAGAAGTCAGGTGTAGAGTATGGGGAAGAAGAAATTCAGTTGATCAGGTCGTAAACCTTAATCCACTCAGATGGCTAGGACATATGTTATGCATAACTTATCACAATCAGTTCCATGTAATATAACTTATGGAAACAAAATCAACGTGGAACCTCGCACACAGGTGCATCGGTCCGAGTTGCCACACTTTACAGTAGTATACAAAGAACAAGTGGATAGAAGAAAACTGATATCAAAATAGACAAAGTTGTGTCAGAGAATAAACAACTTGAATATGAGTTAGTGTGAACATCCAAGTCTTACAAGACGTTAAGGAGTGAACACACCTACACCATTGTGACCGATTTCCAGCCACATCGCTAAGAACCCCCAATCACTGATTTCTATCTCCTCGGAGACCCCAACGAGGCAGTCTACATCTCCCAACACGGCTCAGGCCAACAGTCAGGGACTTCATCGACTGGTGCTACGTCTTGATCTGGCCACCCTGAACCCTCTCCCAACCTAATCCAGCTTCCCGTAGCATGGCATATCAAGGTGAACGATGATTTAGTATGCACAGTACATGTCCAAGCCACCTCAGACGTTGAAGATTCACAACCTCACCAATCGACTTGCCTGTCGTGCCTAGCACCCGTTGCCTGAGGTCAACATTGTTCACTTGGCGATTCCACCAAACGCGTGCAATGCTACGAAGACACCTGCGATCAAAACCCTGTAACCGCTTCATGTCTTCTACTTTTAACGGCCATGTCCCATGGGTGTATAACAGGAGAGGACAGACTACAGCCCAGTATACCTGTCCTTTGATAGATAGTCGGATATCTCGCCAGTCGGCACCACAGGTGACGGAAGTTGGCAAATTCCGAACAGGCCTTCTCTATCCGATCTGAGATTTCGTCAGAAACCAGCTGATGCAACTCCTCAGGAAATTGAAGTGGTCGATACATTCCACCACTCCACTCCCAATCGTTAAACTGGGTGTACTTGCAGCAGACCAGTCCTGGAGCAACATCTTACATTCGATAGGTGCCAGTGAAACGTATGCTGAAGATACTCAGATTTCTGCTCAACGCATCCAGAAGACCCCGCATTTTGTCAGCGTCTTCACCTAGTAGGGCAATATCGTCTGCATACTCCATGCCAACCAGATAACCTCTAGGGAATAGATCAACCTCTCTGAAGTCAAACGTACCTGAGGTTATTTCCACTAGAGGATTTATGCGTAAACGTATCCTGACCAACAATGGACTGAATGGTTTGGATAAACGTGGACACCGAGTTAGTATGATTCATCGTATAAGGTATATTTTTACTTGTATAATCCTGTTATGATATGGATGATATGGTAAGCCTCTGTATCAAAACGTGAATAGTAACCTGTAAACTTAACGTCACACTCATAGTCTTGTAAAGGATCTTCCTAGGAAGATCGAAATGTTGAAGAATAATACAAAATATTTTTTTGTTTATTTGTTCTAATATACTAATAGACACAAGTAAAAATACGATGATCCAAGTGTATTTATGTAAGAAGTGCTTATTGTTTGGCATTACAAGTAAACTGATATACTGGTGTAAGCTCACTATTCTATGTCCATCTATTTACTAAGTCTGTGCAAAAAAATGCCAATACAATTGTTAAAGCCACAATTTGAATTATATGATTAAGATTTCAAAGAAAAACAAGTGGTTTAATTAGGAATTCGCTTCTTGACAATTTTATTCTTTGAACAGTACAATCGCAACCATACGCAACTTTCTTCTTTATTTTCAATCTGCTGGATATTTATAACAATTTTACAACTTTGTAACACATTAGGCAGCGGTCATTGCCCAAAAGATATTAAGATTGCTAGTAGTAAATACTGACAATTATACCATGAAAATGAGACAACAGTGATGAAGCTTAGATAAGGAAATAAAAGACACGGCAATATATTTCAGGCGTGAAATGTTATTAGAAAAAGCACAGAAGCAAGTAAGCGTCGATGTATGTAAGAGGTGAAGGAAATGGAAAAAAGGGTTATCTAAGACACTAGAGATTACAGTTGTGAAAAATAAATGGGTTGTGGAAGCCTCTTACTTCAATGAAACTCAGGATACTCTATATGTTTATAGCATTTTGTTTGTTCTCGCTTGTCTTACATGCGTTCTGTCTCCAAATACTTGGTTACAGTGATGTAATACTGGATCTATAAGGAGTTTAGTCAAATCAATCAATATCAACATAGGACCAGGCATGACTGCACAACGGTCCAAGTTACCACATCTTATATCAACACAACAAGTAAGAAAGCAGCAAGAAGAGAGGTGAAGGAAGAGAGAAAAATCGGTCAAAAGCAGTGGAAAGCAATAAAAGAGAGGAAGGAAGTGTAGGAAAATGCTGAATTCAGAATGGCGGTTAAGATAACGATAATATGTGGACATATCTGCGCCACTGACATTGTTTCTCAGTTATATCATCCAGACTCTCCAACCACTGGTTTCTGTTTTCACGTGGACCCCAACTGGCTAGTCTGCATCCTCCAACATAGCTAAAACGAACAGTTAAGGACTTCATGCATTTGATGCCATGTTTTAGTCTGGTCGCCTGCTGACTTTTCGCAGCCTGAATAAACTTCACCCAACTTAATGTTATGAGGCAATCGACGACTAGGCATACGTAGTACGGTCCTAACCATCTCAGTCGATGAAGGTTCATAACCTCGTCAACTGACTTACCTCTTCTCCCTAAAAGTCCACACCTGACTTCTGCATTACTCACTCATGTGGTGACACCAAGGAATACGGCCTATACTACGAAGGCAACAGTGGTCAAACACCTGAAGCCTTCTCATGTCTTCCACCTTCAATGACCATGTTTCACAGCTATACAGCAGAACAGATTGAACTGCTGTGCAGTATGCTCGACCGTTAAGGGACAGTTAGATTTCTTGGGGGCGCCGAGATGTCGAAAATTAGTGTGAGCTGGCCGTGCCTTTTGTGTACATACAGAGTTTTTGTCAGTGACAGGAGGTGTTACTCCTCGGTGCTCATTATCGCGAAGCTTTTTTTCCGAGTGAAAAGTAATGTGTGAAGCCTACCGGAGGTTTTGATTTTAGTTATTGCCGAATGTATAATTATTTGTATAGGATATCAAGATGATAAGGGAAAACATCTGCTTAACTTGTCCCATCTTGATATTCCTAATCTCTGTCTTTTCAAATTACTCTGGTTTTTTGATTCTTGCAAATTATATGATATCATCCCTGACTATTCTTTTTGATAGCTCCATACCGATGAAAGTTTTCATAGCTTCTTATCAAAACTTGTTCGTCATTTTCTAACGTATAGAATCCGTTTATTTTTTGTTCATTTTTTGTCTAACAAGTTAATATATTCTGAATCATAACCATGTTTGTTTTCCTTCCAATCATTTCCTAACTGTTTTGTAACTATCAAACGTACAAAAAACTTTTCGGTTTTAACTTTACTGCTTTTGGTATGAAATAGTTAGTGAAAATTATCTTGATGGAGAATCCCTACACATTATTAGTATTATCATGTGTTTACTTCATCCAATTGAATTGAATTTGGTGTGAAAGGTACTGCTGCGGTTATTCGATCAGAACAAGAAGATTGCTCGAGTTACATTTCTATCATACGCATCCCAAGAGTACACCTTGTCACTTTTTAAGTGCTAAATGTCAAATTGAAATGATGAAGAAGACTTTGCTGCCTCCATCATCATCATCATTATCAACATAGGACCAGGCACTACTGCGTAACGGTCCGAGTTGCCACACCTCATATCAGCACATCAAGTAAAAAGGTAGTGAGGCGAAGGATGAAGATAAGTGAATGCAGTCAAAAGAAATATAAAGTACGAAAAGAAAAGAAAGAGGAGTGACAAAATAGTGAGATTCGGTATAGCGTTGTTAAGATGAGGATAATGTGTGTATACATCTGAGCCTGAGCCATATCACCTAGGGTCTCCAACCACTGGTTCTCTTGTCCCGTGGACCCCAACCACCTAGTCTACATCGTCCTACATGGCTTAAACCAACAGTCAGAGACTTCATACATTGGTGCCATGTTTTAGTCTGGCCACCTCGGGCCTTTTTCCAGCCTGAACCCACCTCAGCCAACATTGTGTGACGAGGCAATCGGTGACTAGGCATACGTAGTACGTGTCCCAACCATCTCAGTCGATGAAGGTTCACAACCTCGTCGACTGACTTACCTCTTCTCCCTAAAACTCTACACCTAACTTCTGCATTACTCACATGGTGACACCACGGAATACGTCCTATACTACGAAGGCAACGGTGGTCAAACACCTGAAACCTTTTTGTATCTTCCACTTTCAATGGCCATGTTTCATAGCCATATAGTAGAACAGAGCGGACTGCTGTGAAGTACACGCGACCCTTAATAGATAAACGAATATCACGGCAGCGCCATAGGTGGCGCAAATTGGCAAAAGCCAATCGAACCTTTTGTATCCGTGCAGAAATCTCATCGGCAACTAACCCACCGGGGTTGATCCTACTTCCCAGGTAAGTGAAGTGGTCAACACACTCAACCACTTCACTCTCTATTGTTAACCGCGGTACCGCTGAAGACCAGTTCTGGAGCAAAAATTTGCATTTGGGTGGTGAAAACCG